AGCAGCAACTTCAGTGAGTAGGCTGGTGTAAAACTGTCACATGATTTGTACTGCAGGAATATATACTTATATATCTATAGAAACACCCACAGAAATTCTTTCACAGAATCACAATAGTCAGTATGTGAGATTTTACTGCTTTGAAAGCTTTCGGCTGCAATTGGGGATGAATCAGACTCTATCAGACATTAAAAACAAGTGCTTTACTTTTTTATGCATGCCTCATTTCAAAATGTAAAGGTTATCTAATATATCTTAGCTGAACCATACCACGAGAGAGACCCACAGAGGCCAAACAGATACAAAGCAGTGAGAGGAGGGAATGACAGACCGCCCCAGATTACGTTCCTGGGGTATTTACAGAATTTGGATAAGGTTCCCAATCAAGAGGTGAGGGAGAACTGTAGTCAGTTACTGTCTAACACTGAATTTCAACATAAAGCAGGGCAAATCAACATAGAAAAAGGCAGCGGTTTGCCCAGAATTGGAAGCTGGGGTGCCTGATTTGAAACCTGCTCTACGGTGCTCAGTATCAAGCTGCCACCTTTGGTTTCCATCAACGTGACCAAGATCTCCCAGGCTTTTGCATTGCACAATGAAGCTGCCCAAGCAACAAACTCACCCACTTGTAGAAGACTGTGAACAACCGGTATAATCGTTAGCTGTTCTCTGAATACTCAGTAGCTTTTAACACTGTGTCTTCTGCCATCCAATCTTGAACAAACTTGAACTAAGTCCACGCTTCCTCCACTAATGGTATATAGGCCCATCTGGGGCAGCTTTAGAGATGAAAGCCTGAAAGGAGTGGAGCAATAGGGTAACTTCCAGCCCACCACACAGCAGTTCCTGGCACGGATACATAAAAGAGAAATTGAAAAGATGAGATTAGAGAAGTGAAGTCTGGCTGCAAAGAGTAACAGTGTGAAAGACTGATGCAGCGCAGTAATTAGTGAAAGAGAAGTTCACAGGGACACAAACTGACAATTAAGGCACTATTTTCTCAGAACTCTCTTGTTTTATGCAGTGGGTAATCTTTAAGCTAACGGATAGGGAGAATGCAGACAAACAAGCTCCAAGAGGGCGGTTTCCATATAACAGTGCTGCAGCTCTTAGGGGAGGACAGGGATCTCTGATTTCAGGCCTCTGAAGTGCTAAATTATCAAATACAAACTCCAACAAGCTCCCCCCAACCTACAGTCACCAGTATTACTGCTTGTTTTTATCAAAAAACAGACACCAGGAAAAGAAAGGATGGGGATTGAGGAGTATCTGCCCTGTACGCCAGGCTTTTTCTAAAAATATGTTACACCTGCTCTTCGTTCTGCACCCTGATCATATTTTGTCTGTGAGGTAGAGAACTCATTGTGCCAAAGGGAATGTGGTTTATGTTCCCAAGGCTTAATGCGTTTTCCCTTCTGCAAAGCAAAAGCGCTTACTACGTTCGCTAAAATAAAGCCAAGAGGACAAAAGTCACACAGGCGCTGTCGCGGCAATGGTTTAACCATTCCCCCTACGGGTTTCTGGAAACGGTCCTTTCAGCAGGACTTTACAGTTCCGGCACTTCAACTTAGCAAATGTTTTATGCAGCTCATGAGAGGAATGCAGCCAGCTCGGCGCACGCAATTTAAATCAATTTGCTGATGATATAAAAAAGGGAGCGCTGAACCGTCCGTTTGCTGTGTGTGCTCCAAAATGACAGCTCCAAACTCGGGGGTATTTATTACCGAAACGTTAATGGAACAGTCCAGGGTGTCAGCTCAACAAATGAGCTGTGGATTGATCCCATGCTGGTTGAAAGAGCTGATTCAACGAGTTGTTTGGTTACTTGATATTTCAGAAATGCTGCTGGGCTGTTTGTTAGCGGTGGGTTTTTGTCTGCTCCGGTCAAGGGGGAGCGCAGAGGACCACAGAGCTGGGCTTGGGGCTGGGCTCTTGCTGGGGAATCATCTGCACCGTTTCTGCAGCAAGAGGTTGTACAAGCAACGTGCAACAGTCCATTTTACAAGAAAATAATTAAAAAAAAAAGGAATGGAGCCTTCCATGTCTTGAGTTGTGTTCTCAATTGGTATAAATCTCGATAGCTAAGCACTAGAAGATCTTATACTAGCTGGCAACACAATGCCAGGTTAATGCCAGGTTAGTACGATCTTCACTGCCTTGCTAAGGTATCAGGTATGGCTTCTGTCAAACTCTAAACCTTGCAAACTTAGGTTCTTTGTGCTTGATTTTGTTCTCTACCCTGAAGATTAAACAAAGGAAACTGTTCCATAAACTAAATATATAGCAAAAACAAAGCAGTAAATATCACTTTTGACATTTTATAAAAATAAATATGTTGAGAATACAGCTTTAGCTTTTAAAAGATCTACATAAGACATGAGTTTAAGCAAGAACCATTGGATGAGCCAGGTATGCTACAGAACATCTTGTGTTCTCAGGCACTACCCCCAGTTTATTGATAGCAATTATTAACACAACTGTGTTCAGGGTCTAGGCCTGGTTTTAGTTCCAAAAAATAAAGCCCAGCACTTCTCCATCGATAGTTCTGACTGTTTTAAGAAAAAAAACAACCTATGGTCAGGTGGGGACCTTGAATGAAGAGACAGGATACACTAGGGAGCACCAAGCAGGAAGATTTTAGCCATTCTTTTCACTTGTAAATTAAAGACATCTTGAGAGGTTTAACATATACCAGCAATTTCAAGGATTTAAATTGCACATCCTTAAGAGAGAAATGGAAGAACTTGTCTAACTGGGCAAACGCTTCCTTTTCCCCCTTCACACGCTCCTGGGTCATTCCTCTCAAAGCAAATGCACTTACCTGATAACGTGCTGCAAAAGCAGAACACTGGGTGCATGCAGGTCAAACAAGAGGGTTACTTGGCACACGTTTGGAACACAATGCTGCAATGTAAATGTTTGATATAACACAAAATTCGATACTAAACTTCAGGAAAAGGTCAAATAAATGGATTTAAAAAAACCCCAAACCCCAGAATCTTTAATTTCTGTAAGCAGCAAGAAAAAAATATTAAAATCTTCACATTTGCATTCCTCAAGAATACTGAGAGCTCTCTCTCCAGCTTGTATTCTTGAAAAGTGCCATCAATAACTTCTGAAAAATCCTTAAGAATCAGTAGAGGGACAAAAATATGCTTATTATCCACAAGATGCAGCTGCATAATAAAGACAGCCACAAAAAGCAACCTTGTTTCCGGAGATTCTTCCTCTCCTGAAGTCACCATCTTTCCTAAATAGACTGCTGGGAAAGTGCATGAATCCAAAAAGGGCAGAGCTGGGTGAGCTTTAAGGCAAATTATCTCAGTTTAAATCACAGGAATAAAGATATTGCAGAACACAGAAAAAAATCCCGCTATCAAAGTTTCTAAACCTTCTTAGGCAGCTTAGATATTACTATTATATTGCAAATGTTGAAATGTTAAGGAGCCTTACAGTTTAGGAATGCAAATAGCATTAATGTATAGACCTAACATTCCATTATTTTTTAGTAAACTGACCTCATTTTTTTCTTCAGTTCATGCTAGTCACCTTTCAGTGGCCTATTCCCTTTAAAGCAAAATCAGCTACTTAAAATCACCGAATTAGAGGCTTTTATGTATGGTTCTGTCCAAGGCGACGATAAACCAGAGAGCAACTTCTGTAAAAATAAACCATGTAAATACAGAGAAATGACCCAAAACAGCAGCTTGGACTTCCTACCTATCTATCGAACAACGACGATTGCTCTTCCATAACTAAGGCCAGGGCCAGAAACTGAACACTCAGATAAATTAAAAATCTGTACTCCCTTTTTAGTTTAGAATTCAATATTATGAAGCAAAGGCCCATGTATTTAGCATGTGTTTTCCCCTCCGTAGAACTGTAACCAGGATAGCAAATAAACTGTTAGATTTAAGAAAGAAATAGGACTTTTTCTTCCTTTTGACAAAGTCCATTAGCAATGGATGCTATTTTTCAAAAGGACAAAAAAGAATGAACTTCAAAATCACCCTGGAAAACTCAATTGTTCTGTCAGTCTCCGAATTATTTCTCTTTCCACTCATAAAGATCCATAATTGGAAAAATCGAGTACATTAACACTGGAGGAATCCACTAAAATAAAGCCCTAGATTGTGACATTGCAATTGCATTAGATTTCTTTCCTTTTTTTTTCTTTTTCTTTTTAAAATAAGGCATGTTAAATGAAAGGTTACAATCAGTTCAGCAAACTATACATCAGCAGTTTTATTCAGTCTCGTTTCTGAGCTATTAATCCCTAATAGAGAAACAAAATGCTGATGCTTTGGTCTATGACCTCCCGAGAGAATAGTTCAAATCCAGTTTGATTACACAGAAAGTGAATTTCACTGAATCACCTGAGTACCTTCCAGATACGTCACATCACACCATAACTCAACATATAAATAGCCTGCAATCTTAGTTCTCCAGGGAAAAAAAGAACCGATCGTATTCTGCCTCCAGTAATGGAAAACAAGTGCTAGTTTGCTCAAAAAAAAAAAAAAATGCAACCAAATAGTTAATCAGACTATGTGCTTTGTCAGAACAATTTTAGGTAAAGGCACCCATTATTGTGGTGCATCAACACAGCAGCCCTTTCCATCACTCCTTTGTGAAGCACTGAGTCAGACTTTTGTGCATCATTAGCACTGACAACACAATAAATGCAGCACTCTGACCTTCAGCACAGCAGTAAAAACAAAGACCACAGTCATTTAATTTTAAAGAATTTTAATACAAACTTAATATAAACTATTTCAGTCCCTCTTAACATGTAAGACACTGACTCAAAATACTTTTATACCTTTTTTCAAGTATTGCACAATGTAGGTACAAAATTAATATTTACGATTACATTTTCTTCCATAATATATAGCAAAAATCTTTAAACCTTTAACAGAAAATACAATTTGTGTTTCTTTTGAAAAAAGCAAGTATTTCGTACATTTTAATTCCACCACTAAGGAATATTCTGTACACAATTTTTTACCTTTTTAGAATTGATGTCTTTAAGATGGATATCTTACAATTTCAGTAAAAAAAATACAACATGAAGCTGCTGCAGCTGTCACAGATCACTGTAGTAAAAAGATATAAATGCAATACCATGTTGTAGAAACAATATATATACTCTGATATTTTACAAACTTTGTACTAAATTAAATTATACAATTAGAAAAAGACCAATAAACCCACCTATTAGTGCCAATTTTTTAAATATATATACATAGGTGTTTTTATATATATATACGAAAAAAATCAGCCATGTCCTTGCTATATCTTAAATACTGTAAGAGGCCATATTTTGAGAGTATATTTTTTGTAATGTACAGTCAGTATAAAATAATTTTGTGCTTGGTTGGCAAATGAAAAAAAATGATGCATGTTGTATTTATCTAACCAAGCTTGAATGTATCCATACTACAAGCTTTAAAAAAAATCTCAAGAGGTGGAAAAAAAGGTACACCCTTGGGTACGTGCATTTAAACTTGTACAACTGTATTTACTTGTATTTCACTTCTGTTTTATTTTTAGTTAGCCATAACTGGCTGGAATTGCTGGTTAGAATACTGCATGTTGTTTAAACTAAAATTCAAGCCATCCACAAAAGACTTCTCATTTAGACCTCCATAGGCTGCAAACATATCAAAGGCATTACTGTACTGGAGAGGACTGAGGTTAAGGGGGCTGTCACCAGGAAATATGCTACTGGTACTACCTTGACCCTGCATGTTGGGGAAAATGAACTCCTTGGCATTAGGAGAAAGGGCAGAAGTCTTCTGCTGTTGTTGTTGCTGCTGCTGACTGCCTAGGCCCAGCCCGTAGAGAGAGTGCATGGAGGAGGAAAGGGCTTTCTGCTTCAACAGCTCATTGACATTCAAGCCAAGGTTGGTGGGAGAAGTGCGGGCGACCTTGTTGCTACGGCCGCTATTCTTCATTTTGGTCGAGCCAAACTTGGTGGCAGCAAATGTGGCAGTGGTGAAGGTTAAAGGCTGAGTGGAGCGGGGCATGAAAGTCGGGCTCACAGCAGCAGAGTGACCAAAGGGAGGAGAAGGAGAACTAGACACTGAAGATGCTGGGTCACTAATTGGCATGAACACCTGGGCCTCTGGGTTAAAGCTGTTCTTGATTTCCTTATCCAACTCACATCCATTTTCATTATCATCCACATAAAGCACTTTCACTGGTCCCTTTTCACCGATTTGGTATGAAACCTCAAACGGGTCAATCCAAACACTAAGATCCTGAGGCAAGTTGCCACGAACATCATCAATGTCCAAACCACTCTCTTTGGATGCTTGTTCTATGACTGGGTCCACTTTCTCCCCTATATGTATACATCTAAACCCTGATCCTTTGTATGGCTTTTCTGGATACCAGTGCCCTTCATACTTCTTCTTAAGAAGTCTTTCAAGCTCTTCACCAAAAATGTTGACACGTCGTCTGGGAAGCTTATTGTACAAATATGAAATAATAAAATTGAGTGCTACTTGGATTTCAAGCTGCATAGCTGCTATGCCACAAAGTTATAAGTCTGTTTCAAAACCCGAAGAAAGTGTTCAAGATGCCACAGGGAAACAAATTTTCATTCAAAGTGCTGATTCTAGTTGATTATTATCCTTCACCTTGAGTGCTCTTGTTCCTTTACGAAAAAACAAAAGCAAACACATCCAAATAAGGAAAACATAAGATCAGATCCAAGGCCTATTCTTTTAGCTTTACCTTCTACACAAAATAGGTTACGCTTTAAGTGAAAACAATTGCAAACCGCTTTTGTTCATGCCCATGAAGGGTGAGTATGTCAACTACCTTCAGTATGACTTACAAACAACGCTGCAGAAGAGGCACTAGGCATGTGTTTATATATACAGCATGGGGTATTTCAAAATCATATGAGCTTGCAGTTCAGTTATTCACAAAGCAGCAAGTATAATTTCTAAGACACCACAGAACTGCCAGGCCTGTCAAGGGTTCAATTACCAACCCCTATTTTGGATGATTTATAGTACTCAGCTGCAAAATTTAGCATCAGGCTATTAGCTTAGCATGAAAGGTCTAAGGGTCGTTTATCATTTAGAGTTTGCAAACATATTGGTTGCGTTTTAAGTTAGAGAATTAGAAAAATATTAACAGTTGCTTCAGAGGATTTCACACAAATAATTCAAATTGTGCTACATTCAAGTTCAAATCAAGCATCTGCATCAACTGTGCACTGCTGAAAACATACTAGCTGAAGAAAAAATGTCCACTGTGTATACATAAAAAATCTTCCTTTCCTTAGAATTAATAATATAATCATAACACAGACCAAAGATTCATTTTCTGTGATAGAGGCGGCAGTAACTGTTAATCATTGCAAAAAAAATTCTCATTTTTTCCCTTTCCACAATTCTTTTATATACATGCATAAAATGTAATATATGCATATTATATATAGATACATATATTAAACACCTACTTTACATTATCTACAGCTAGGATTTTCAAAAGTTACTACAGCCAGGAAGGCTTTTAATAGTCTCAGTCAAAGCAATCGCTTTTCTCTCACTACGGGACTCCATTTTATACTTAATATAAAATATGGTTGTCGCTCCTTCACAAAGGACAAAAGAGAAATTAGCTACCTAAAGTTAGACAAAGGACTAAATTCAAGTATTAAAATACGGACTGCCAATGAAAATCCTGCAATATCTTAGCATAAGGTGCTTGTGCAAAGAAGACAGCACTGTACAAGAAGTTCCAGTCAAAAAAATATAAATATTTTTGGCTCAACTTAAACGCCCAGCAAGATTTTTGTTTAATGGTGTGCTTTTCTGCACTGCATCACTAGGTAAAAAATTAGAATATCTGTCATTAAAGATTAGAGAAAAAAAAAATCAATATTAAAATTCCATTAAAACGTGAGTAAATTCTTTTTTCTTGCTGCATATAATCTCCTTTTAAAGTCCGAAACCCTATTTCCAAGGCACTTGTGTTGCCCTCAACACGGTATGGGCATAGTTTGAGAGCCTGCATGATAAGGCGACCTTTAAACGTTTGCTGGATCAGCACTGGGTGGGGATAAGGAAAAGATCAAGGGCAAACAGAAGATATTTACAAAAGGGACACATTCAGTACAGAAAACCTGATTGGATAGTTAAAAGGGACATTTAAAAAATGATTTATTAATCCATCTGTTTTGTTTCCCCTCCTCCATGTCCTTTAGGAAAGAAATGATCCTTTCAAGGCACTGGGCAGACATAAATTCTTCTAAGCCCCAAACTGATTCATGGTATAAGCCGCTGATTAAACAAACCAGCTCGATCATCCCAAGCCTTTTTTTTCCCCTTTTTTAAATGGACAAGGACAATATTGTTAAGGCGCTCCAGTACATTAAGCGACTCCAAGAGCAAAGCGGAGGCAGCAGGGGCTGGAGGCAGGAGCCGTAGCGGCGTGCGGGGAGTTACATAACCAGGCGGTTGGATCTCATTAGGTTTCTGCTCACAGCCCTGGGTGCTCCGGCGGCAGCGGCAGGAGGAAGAGAAGCAATTTTTGAGTCCGTAAACACAAAACGGAGGAGGATGGGGGCTGGGAGAAGTGGAGGGGTTGCGGCGAGACCCCACACGGGCCTGGGCTCGGCGACAGCCGCCGCTCCGTCCCCCCCCAACAGCCGGCGGGGTCCCCGGGGCGGCTGCCAGCGCTGCCCGGCGAGGCCTGGCGCGAGCAGCGGTTATTAGTCAGCCGGCAACGCTCACCCCTCCCAGCCCCGGCGCGTCCAGGAGCGCCTCGGCAGGGAGGCTCCCGGCGCCGGGGCCGAGCCCTGCGGCCGCTTGGGAGAGGGGCTCCGGCTGCCCCTTCGCCTCACGGCGCGGAGCCGCCTCAGCCCCTCTCCTCACGGCGCGGAGCCGCCTCAGCGCCTGTCGCCTCAGCGCCGCTTCCCCCGGGCCCAGGGCTCCCCCCAAGGCCCCCGCGCCGCCGCGGGCCGCCCCCCGCCCTCAGCGAGCGGTACTCACCCGGGTGGGTGTGCGGGGTGTGTGTGGGGGATATAGTGCAAACAAATCCCGGCGGGGGTGTGAGTGCTCGGGGGCGGAGGGTGGCTCAGCACCCGAGCCCCATCTCCGAGAGCCGGCTCCCTCGGCGAGGACGGGAGGGGAAAGGAGAGAAGAGCAAGAAAAAGAAGGAGGGGAGAGGAGAAAGAAAAAAAAAAAAAAAAAAAAAGACAGGGAGGGGGAGGGTTGGAAAAAAAAAGGGGGGGGAGGGAAGGGGGGGAGGGCTGCGCTGCTCACACCCCCTCGGCGGGCGCACCCGGCCCGCAGCTCGCCGCCTTCTGCTCCTGCCCGCCCGCCGCGCGCGCCCCTATATATGGCCTCTCTTGCCCCGCCCCCTCCGCTCGGCCCCGCCCACCAGCCGCCGCCCTCCCGGTCAGCTGCACCTCGCCAGGCCACGCCCACCACCTGCGTGGCACCGCCCCTCGTGGCACCGCCCTGTCCCCCCCACGCGCGTGCGCCTGTCTCCACCCCTCCCTTCCCATTCCCCCCCCCCCCGCGTGGCGTGGAGGGGCCGCGCTCGACGTCAGCTCGCAGCACGGTGGCGTCACTGCCGACGTCAAACCCTGCCCTCGCGCCCCTCGTGTCCGCAGGGAAGGCGGGGGAGGGGGCGCCGAACTACATCTCCCATGACCGCCCGGCTCCGCCATGGGGGGACAAGGGCACCTCGGAGCCCGTCATGGCGGGGGGGACTCGGAGGCACTTGGAGAGGGGGGCGGCGGGAGCGGGGCGCCCCGCGGCCC